ATGATGATTATCGATTTTCAAGTCCGTAACTATGAACTTCCATTGGAATCGAACGTGACAACATGTGAAATACCAATGGTAGATACTACTTAGAAGTTGATCTTGAAATTTTATCATTTATAATATTCCCAAAAACAAACCACACAAAGAACAATACATAATATAATAGTTGTTCATTACACAATATAAAAATTCATACAACGAGAACCGTGACACATACAACGAGAGAGCTGTGTCCTTATTACCACGACAAATATTTTTATTAAGGGAACTCCAGTAAACAGATACTACTGAAGTCAAATTTCTGATCCAAAGATGTCTGTTGACTCTGCCTAGGCAGAAGAGGATGCAGCCTTCGCAGCCTCAAGTCTGGAACTAACAGCCTCCCAAGACACAAGATTGTTCATGAATGTCTTTATGTAATCTGGTCTCCGGTTCTGCTCATATACAAAAGATACAACAATCATCAGAAGAAAGAAACTTAAAACGATACGGTTTTGTTATAACTATGAATAAGCTGTTACCTGGAAGTCGAGATAGTATGCATGCTGTTAGATGTAGCAAACGAACAAAGAAGAAACCAATAGAATTGTGAGAAAATATACGTTCGACATCAAACACTAGATTTGGTATGAGCAACATAAGCGTTTATATTTACCTCCCAGACATCAATGGTAAGCAATGGCTGCAAGAAATGACCACCAAGTTTAAATGTAAGAATTTGTATTAATTGTAGTGTCATGCGCAATCACGTAAGTTCTGTCATAAACAAAAACTTACGAAAGACCCGAGGACAAGAGGATTCACGGCATTTGGGGTTTTCACTACTTTGAGTTTGTCATTTGCATCTGAAAGCAGAGAGAGAGAGAGATAAATAAGGGAGAAATTAAGATAGTTAGGCAAAGAAGCTGTTAAAACCGCAATCCCGTGAACTTACAGGCAAGCCAGGCCCAGCCAGCTCCAAATTGAGTTGCTGCAGCAGCATTGAACTCCTCGTAGAACTTTTCATACGAAGTGAAATCTCTTTCGAGCAAAGCAAGTAGCTCTCCTGATGGTTTTCCTCCACCTCCTGGTTTCATTGACTCCCAGAAGAACTCGTGGTTCCAAGCCTACATACGCCATTGGATGAATTCAACAATCACACACCATACGAAAAAGCTCAAATTAAAACGGATTTAATTACTAACCTGAGCTGCGTTGTTGAAAGCAGGGAGGAGATCGCCATTGTTGTAAGTGTTGAGGATGATGTGGTCTATGGTCTTGCCTTCAAGCTCGGTTCCAAGAACCTGTTTCTTGAGGTTGTCCACATAAGCCCTGTGATGCTTTCCCCAGTGAAACTCCAGTGTTTGTTTGCTCATGTGCGGCTCCAAAGCATCCTTTCCAATATTATTCCAAAAAAACATTTCATCAGATCACTCACTCAACATATAAACCTCCAAGCTTTTCCTTACTAGGAATGACCACAGAGTTAAGACCAGCGAACATTTGGTTAATGCGGGATTAGTACCAATCAAGAAGCAATTCCATTAATCCAGCCAAAGCAAAATGATACTTGCCTAAATTTCCAACTAGTTCGAAGAAACAAGTAAAGGAAATCATACCAGAGGGTATGGAGGTGGCTTGAGGACGTAATTTGCAGTAACAGCAGTTGAAGCAGCCATTCTTTTGGGATTGAAGCTGTGCACAAAATACCATGTTTATGCCCAATAATGAAACAGTATCCATACAAACACACATAAACAAAACTAAAAATTTCGAGGTACTGCAAATGAAATGGTAACGAAATTTCTAGGCAGATCAGAGCAAAATTCGGAACGGAAACTAAAATATATGGAACAGAGATAGAATCAGGAACCTCTAGATTGAGGAGAGTGAAGAGAGGAGCGAGGAGAGCACACGCCAGTGAAATGTGTATGTTTTTGGGTTATATTTTGGTATTGTGTGGTTAAGGGTCGTACTTGTGGCAGTACGTAGCATCTGTACTATCATTATCTCTTTGCAGTACACTTTTTTCTAGCTCGATGGCTGGCTGGCTCCCATAGGTCATTGTGTATCTTTTTTATTTATCACTAGGGATATCCCGGGTTTTTCATAATATTTTTTTAATTATTTGGTTTTTATTTGCATTTGAAATTTCGAATATGTATTACATCATATTTGAAAAAAGCATACATGTACCTCAGAAAGTAAAACTTATAATTTTTTTAAATAAATCAAAATAATTCATGTATCATTTTAGATCTTTAAGTGATGTCTTCACCAATCTCTATGAGTTTCAATCAATACTCAATTTAGTACAATTATAAGAGCATGATCAATGCAGGCGCTTAGAACAAATGCTTAAGAATATTTGGCATTTAATTAAATAAAAATTAGTTGATTTAAGAAGCAGCGACGCTCAAGTTAGCGTTTTAAGCTCCGCATCTTGAGTGCCATGTGGCGGCGTGCGATTGGACCGAGTTAAAAAAAAACTCGAGAAAGATGGCGATCTGT